GACACCAAGGACAGTGAAGAAGGAGGGGGAGGAGGTGCTCCAGGCGCCGGAGCAGAGATTCCCCTGCAGCCCGTGGTGAAGACCATGGTGAGGCAGGCTGTCCCCCTGCAGTCCATGGAGGTCCATAGTGGAGCAGATATCCACTTGCAGCCCGTGGAGAACCCCACGCCGGAGCAGGTGGATGCACCCGAAGGAGGCTGTGACCCCATGGAGAGCCCGTGCTGGAGCAGGCTCCTGGCAGGACCTGTGTAGAGAGGAGCCCATGCTGGAGCAGGTTTGCTGGCAGGACTTGTGACCCCACGGGGGACCCATGCTGGAGCAGTCTGATCCTGAAGGACTGCACCCTGTGGAAAGGACCCATGCTGGAGCAGTTCATGAAGAACTGCAGCCCGTGGGAAGGACTCACGTTGGAGAAGTTCATGGAGAACTGTCTCCCGTGGGAGGGACCCCACGCTGGAGCAGGGGAAGAGTGTGAGGAGGAAGGAGCGGCAGAGACAACGTGTGATGAACTGACCGCAACCCCCATTCCCCATCCCCCTGCGCCGCACGGGGGGAGGAGGTAGAGAAATCATGAGTGAAGTTGAGCCTGGGAAGAAGGGAGGGGTGGGGGGAAGGTGTTTTAAGATTTGGTTTTATTTCTCGTTATCCTACTCTGGTGTTAATTGGCAATAAATTAAACTAATTTCCCCAAGTCGAGTTTGTTTTGCCCATGACGGTAATTGGTGAGTAATCTCCCTGTCCTTATCTTGACCCATGAGCCTTTTGTTATATTTTCTCTCTCCTGTCCAGCTGAGGAGGGGGAGTGATAGCATGGCTTTGGTGGGCACCTGGCGTCCAGTCAAGGTCAACCCACCACACCACAGCAGGATGGTTTTGTAGCTATGTCATTAGGCAACTCAGGCTGAGCAGGTAAGTTGTGTGTATACATGGGTATATCGAGATATAGATTATATATTGAGAGAGAAAGGCAGGCAGAAGATGGAGCCATAAGAGGACATGAGGTTCGAAGGGTGAAAATCCTGCAACAAGGGTGTGATTTGTTGGGTTTCCCAATACGAGATGAATTCCTTTCCAGTTGGGCTGGGCTGGCTCTGTGCAGAGGAGTCATGCAGGCCTGAATTCTCCCCTCTGTCTATATCATGCTTGCCTATGAATCTGTTAAGATACGTTACTGATCACTTGTCTTTTTTTTCCAATTTCCTTTTTGTTTACTTCATCTGCCTCATTTCTCAGCTTTCACTCCAGACACCTTTTATCCAGGTTCTGTGCTCCCGTGCTCTCACTTTTTCAAGAATTTCAGTTTCTCAATCTGTTTTTGAAAGTCAGCCTTCCTGCCTCCTTTTTTCCCTTTCTTCTAGTTCCTTTGTGTTTCTTCTTTTTGTTTTCCTCCCATTCTTAATACTCCACCTAGGTCTATTTTTCCCTTTCTTCCTGATCGTGACTGGAGTTGAACTTTTCACTCTCCCAGCCTTTTCTGTGCTTCCCCATCAGTGTCCTAGACATGCAAGACAGAGTTATTCACTTTCAGAAACAGAAAACAAGCAGAAAGTCTACTGAAAACTCCTTTAGCAAAGCAAGACAAGTAATAGTTGTTGCCAGCTTTCCAGCATCAGCTGAGACTGCAGTAACGCAATTTCATACGGAGCTGAGAATGTAGTCTGGGACTCCTCGCGTGATACAACATACTGCAAGCAGTGGGAGCAGAGAATAACTTTCCCTTGGACGAGAAGCAGTGGCTGAAGCTTTACTGAGAAATTAAGTTCCTTGTTACCTATTTAGACGAGAAGGAAAATGGGCTTTTCCTCATCCTTTAGAAAGACAGTCAGCTGGAATCTCTTTTTTAACATTTATTCTCTCATATAGAATGTACCAGGGTAGCCTGGGATTACTCTTGACTTAATGACTCAGCAGGATTTGCTGATCTTGAATGCCAATGACACTTATCTGGTAGTTCACACCTTGCAGTGCTGTTGCTCGAGATAATTTTTGGATTCAGGCAAACAGCACCATGTCTTGCATCAAATTTTCCATGTGTTTTTACAAGCAAGACTAGTTTGTGGGGGGGGTTTAAGCTCTGATTCTGATGTCATGTGAGGAGATAGTATTGTCCCATAGTATTGCACCAGTAGCACCCATGTCTTTGCCTGCACTGGGTGGGAGTCATAGCCAGATCACTCCTCCTTTCTATAAGTAGGAGTCTCCCAGTCATTACAAATCTCAGTGCTCTTTTCCTCTCATCTTTTCTGGTTTCCATTCCTGCCATGTATTCCTGTACATTTCAAGTTTAATGCAACCATGAAGAAGTGCTCTTGATCTCAGATCAGTCTCCTCCTGTCTTAATCCAGCCCATTTATGCTTAACCACGGAGTCCATACATGGTGCAGTGTTTCAGGCATGCTAAAACACTCATAAGAAGGGGAAGTATGGCAATCAAGAGAGTGTAGCAGCACAGTGAAAAGTGATGGAAGGGGAGTGTTCTATTTCCATCGCTTATAAATAATTCTCAGATAAAATGTTCTTGGTGGAATCATATCCCCACTGAATTCAATTGGAGTTTAGTGATTGACTTCAAAGATGTAGCATCTTACTCTTCATTCACTCTATCTTTAACCCAATAATTCTGAAATTAAATCTGCATTAAATTATAATTATATAAAATTATATATTTTTTTTATCTCCTTGGTTCATTCCAGAGGAAAAAAGTTATTATACTTATCTAAGTATAGAGATGTGATGCTATTGAAACGAAGGTTAAAGAGAATCACTGTACTGCTCTTTGTTAAGAGTCAACGTTCATTTACGCTTACAGACACTTCTGTTTCCACCTTGCCATTATATAATGACACTTTCTTGTGGGATTGTCAGAAGATATCATAAGTTTATCCTAGGAGTAGCACAAGGAAGTAATTTTGCCCTGGTTTTTCTTTTTTTTTTTTTAATGGAAAATAAGACATTGCTGGAGATAACAGCTTTCTGCTTCCCAGGCACCTGATGAGGCATTTTGCTTCACATTATTTTTCCAAGTTCCACTGGATTTATTTTGAAAAAGGATGTAATTTCTCTGGGAAAGGCAGTTGTTTCTTCACTCTTAGATCATGCCCATGCCTCTTAATTGCCTCAGTAGCCAACGGCTTCCCTTCAAAGAGAGATTCCCACCTCCTTCCCAGATGCAAGGGGACTGATTTGAAGAATCCATTATGGTTTTGATGCTTATACTGTGGAATTAGCTGAACTTTCCCATCATATCTGCAAGAAGGATATCAGATGGTGGGGGTGGGAAGAGAAGGAAGGAATAAGAGACAAGCATGTCTGAACTTGCTGCCCAGAGAGCAGGCTGCGTGGGATATATGAGATATGTAAGTCTGAGACAGCAGATGCATGGAAGGTTGAAAGAGTAACATCCAGCAGGAGTGCAAGGGGCCTCAGTCAAGGAGGTGAGAGCACTGGTAGGTGGGATGTCTCCTTTATATCAATCATGAAGGGTTGTCTTGGTATAAGAAATGCTAGGGATGCTCCTCTGACACTAAAATAATATTTAGCTTTCCAAAGCAGTTAGGTGACTGCTGGTTGTATTTTTCTTTTATTTCTTCTCTGTGCACAGATGATTGTATATGCTCTTCCTGTCATGTTTGGGTTGCTAACTCAGTAGATGTTGCCTGCCTGAGCCCCTATTCATGTCTAATACTGATTAGTCCCAGTTCTTCAATACACTGTTAAATCTGTATGACAACTGATCATGTTCATTTTCCTAAGACAAAGCAAGGTCTGCAAGAATTAGCTTGAAACAATTTTAAATTCTTGAAATTCTTTCAGAAATGGTTCTTTTTTTATTTAAAGCAAGTAGGACATTGATAGCTTTTTGGTACTAATACTTTCATGTAGATGTGCTCATAGTTGGCTCTGTAAATATAAATATTCTTGGTGGGAGACGCCCTTAAGGCCTGTAGCAGTCTTAGGAAAATACTAGTGCTTTCTGCATATAAGGGTCTACTGTATATGCATTTCTTTGAAGGGCAGTGTCTATAAGATGAATTAAATTCTGGGATGGAAATTTTCCTGTTGATTTCAGCTAGCCCTGCAGCTAACTATAATGTGCATTTATATCACCACTGCAGTTGTTCCAATCAGAAAGATGTTACAGGTGTAATATTTGAAAACACAGGGCTAAACTTGCTGCTTGCATAACTTTTATCACTTAATACAGTTATTGCAGCAGCTAATCTTGTTGTCAGCCAGTGTAATTCCTATTTAATTTTTATCTTTCTGTTATATTTTTTCCCTTAAAAGCCAAGGGAAATAATAAATAATGTGAAAATCACCTGAAGAAGACAACCTTTAACCTCAGTAATACAAATCAGTATTGCACTCTTGTTTCAATCAGTACTTCAGTAGAAACAGATGAAAATGTAATGAAAAGATTAAAAAAATTAGGCACAGAAAGAAACATGGAAAAGTACAATAAGAGCATAAAGAACTTATTTGTGAAGAAAGCAGAAAGTCTTTTCTCAATGCCCATCATAATGTATATATTTGCTGATCATTATTATCATTATGTCTCCTTCCCATTTAGGAGATTGTCAACTTCAATTGTCGGAAGCTGGTTGCTACAATGCCTCTTTTTGCTAATGCAGACCCAAATTTTGTGACTGCCATGCTAAGCAAACTGCGATTTGAGGTGTTCCAACCGGGCGATTATATTATCCGAGAAGGAGCTGTGGGTAAAAAGATGTATTTCATTCAGCATGGTGTTGCTGGTGTCATCACCAAATCCAACAAGGAGCTGAAGCTGACAGATGGCTCTTACTTTGGGGGTGAGTAGGAAAAAATTAATTATAACATTGGAGAGAATGCACTAGAATAAAACATGTTCAGATATCAGACATATAGAGACATCAGAATAAGTCTACTGAGTGTCTTTTGCCTAGACAATTCCAATTGCAGTGAAGAGTGCACAAAATATTTCTGAATAAGACAGATTCTACTTACTGTTGCAAGGATAACTATTGAAGATACAGAATGACCTTCCTGAATTTTCAAGTTATTTTGAATTGAGCACTGTTATTTAGCAGACAATATTTCAATAAAAATATAATAATTTGCATAGTAATTTTATAGCTATTTAAAAGTAAAATAAGCAGGATTCATCTTCTTTAAAAAGGGATACAAATTTTGAGTCATAAATGTAAAGTACTTCTAAAAGGCAAAAATCACTGTAAGAATTACAAAATTAGACAGTGAATAGAAGACCATTATTTATATGGGATATTTTGGTGTTCTTCATGAATATGTCAGGCTGTTATTAGTGCTTTTTTACTGAATTTTAGCACACAGCAATGTTTATCCTTCCAGTATATACTATGAGAAACTGGACTCCCTATTTGACTAGATAGCTCTCTAACAGATGTATATTAATAAAAAACAGACATGAATTTTAATCCAAAATAAATTCATCTGGTAATCCTAATGAAAAATTGGTTTTTATTTAGATGAAAGCATCTGAATTTTTATATTTGGATTAAAACAATTGTCTTTTTTTAGATATAATAATTGACCAGTATGAAAATGTTGTTCTTTATGACTGTAAATTGTCTTTGTGCAATAGAATAGGTGTCTGCTTCTGTGAGTAGTAGCAAGGCTGGTTTCCAGAAGCTGATCGAACATTTGCATGTACCACTGCTGCCCATGACAGTTACAGTTTGTTGGTATTAATTTTTTGTTGAATCCCATTAATTATTCCAGAACTGAGTCAAAAGCCTTTCAGAAAATGTTCAATTGAAAGCCTAATCAGTGGTATTTAGCTGGTATACAGAAGTGGGAAGCTTAGAAAACTGAACTGGGCTCAGTGTTTGAATTGGGCTATAGAGTTACTTAACTAATCCCATTTTAGAATAATACACTAAAGCAACTCCTACTGATCTGGCCAGCAGGCCTTGTCACTCTGCAGTAACCTCTGCAAGGTGATTTGTACCAGTATTTGTAGAAGCACTTCAGTAAAGAAGTCTTGTGCTTATCCCATGAGCTTAAACTGTAGGTGCTGAAGACAGGAGATTAAGGAGAAAGAAAAGGTAAATGCTGAGGATGAAGAAACAGAGCAACCTTGGTCCTGGTCTTCTCTATGCTTAGCAGTGCCCTAGTTTATGAAAATGAGTTTGCAAGAGCCTGTGTGCTGAATCTGGCCATAATACTCCTCTGAACCAGCAGAGGATCAGAGGAGATTGCGCATGAAAGTATTTTACATAACTGTCAGCCTGTTGTTGCAGTGCAAACAACTACTTAGCTCATCCTGTTCATCTGCTACCCTTCTTAGCAGGA